CGGGTTCAAAACCGACCAACAGCAAGTACCAATGTCACTTTTTCCGAGTTATATGTACTTTCTAAGATTATCTAGACAATACCCACAAACGGTGAAGGAAAACATCGTGACGAAACCTGAGCTTAAATTTCTAATTATAAGTTTGACATTGCCAACCCGCAATTAACAATCGTGGTGATTAATGCTCAAACCTTCTCCGTGTGAGAAGAGGTTTTGCTCAGCAGTGGGCATTTAGGTATAGGCTGTATTTATTAGATTATTGTAGGTATGTATTTTATCAGATTAATAAAATAATATTGTCTAATTTGACTGCCTCGTTGGCCGAGTGGTTGCAAGTGCGACTGCCGGGCAAGGGGTCTCGAGTTCGATTCTCGAGTCGGGCAAAGTATTACTGGGTTTTTATAAAAATCTCAGTTAGTAGTAGCACGGAGTCTGCAATTGATTATGCCCGGTATATGGCAATAGGTTCACCCCCTATTACATGGGACTCATAACATAAATAGGGAAAAGTGGGTGTTACATTGTACAGTGGCATAATGTGCACCTCTGCCTACACCTTCGGAGATAAAAGGTGTGATGTTATATGTTATTATTTGTCTAATTTATTATTCTTAGATAGATTCCATGGACAATTCAACCTTTAATTTAGATCTACTAACCATTTTAAATTGTTTGATTACTTTATCTCTTATTCCTTACTCTATTCTAATTGAATTGATATCTAAATTACTTGATATACGTACTTTATATTGTAGCTAACACACACAAGCAATTAATTGAAAAGTCTACAGAAGTTATAGCCTACCACGGATGGGACTTAATATTTCTGTGGATGGGACCCAATAGGGCTGAAGCCGATACGGAGATGGGGAAAACTTAACAGGTTATCGGGGCTCCAGCTCAAACTGCAGGAGTAGGAACGGGGCGGTTTTTAGCCAGTATGAGTCGGACACTCCCTCTCGCCTCACCCAGGCGGAAGAAGTCATTTAATAATATGACCACTTCGAATAAGATCTATGTTAAAAAAGGAATGTATTAAATGTTGATATGCCTTAAAAATTTCTGCATTATTCTAATACAACACTGTATATAAAATTGACCTTATCGTAATCATTTCTAATCATAAACTATAGTTTATGTTTATTTACACTAGTGATGACATATATGTCATCCCTATTAGTATCCTATTAGTACAGCAACAGTACCTTCAATTTTGCTGACGACCGTATTTGAGTCAATGTAGGGAGACATTTTCAAAAAGTTAAGAATATTAAAATTTTAAAGCTCATAATAACATATTCAGGAACATAGTTTTAATTATAACATAACATCACGCCTTTTATCCCCGAAAGGCACATTTCGGCACTTAATGCCACTACAATTTAACACTCTCTATTTACGTTATGAGTCCCATGTAATAGGGGGTCAGCCTATAGTCATATACCGGGCACAATTACAGAACCCGTGCTACTACTGGGATTAAAAAAAACCCAGTCGCACTTGCGACCACTCGGCCACCGAGGCAGTCATTATAATTATACTCATTAACAAAAACGGAAAATGCAAAATATAAAGTTAATTTTAACAAAATGCGATGAATAATGTATGCAATTAACTAAAGCGAATTACCTACCGCAGTAGATCAACTCGGAACTACTAACTGAATTCTGAGCGTCCAATTAAAAATGAACTGCAATTATGCTTGACGTTGTCTGAACGCATTACTGAATTAAATTTTAATTTTTTAACCAACTTTTCTATGCAGCTTTTTCATGTTTTTCAAAGAGTGTTATGATATTTTCCATTCCTTACATAAATATAATAGGCTGAGATGCCTTACATAAATAAAATGGTAAGTGGTTTTCCCATCTGGATATTATATCATCATCATCATTAATCACCGGAGGCCCAATTACCTCCTCTTCCCCAATCCCTGAATCCATAACAATCCTCAAATTCCTAATCCTAAAACATCGATAACGCACTTGTAACGCCTCCAGGTGTCTATGGACAACGCCAATTGCTTACCATCAGATGATCCGTCCGCCAGTTTTTTTTTTTTTTTTAATGCGAGGAAATCATCGAATGACAGACTCTTACTGACTAAAAACCACCCCGTTCCTTCTCCTGTACGTCGAGCCGGAGCCCCAGTTACCCGTTAGGTTCTCTGCGACCCATCTGCCCGTTTACCGGGTTATTCCATAATAAAAAAGTCATCATCATCGTCATCAAGAATAAGGCAACTAATACTAAACATAGGTCTCTTTTTTTAGGGGTGGTTTACCACAATACCTATAACACATAGGCCACAATACATATAGTATTTATATCATATTGCATATTTCGGATATACAGTGAAACCTGGTTAAGTGAGACATCAAGGGACCTGCAATGTCGTTTCACTTGTAGAGGTATTCCACTTACCCAGTGTCTCAGATATACAGGTATAAATAAATATCTGTCTCATTTACAGAGGGTTTCATTAATAGAGGTGGACTTGGTATTACATGTGGAATTTGTGGGTAGAATAAGAATGAGTGAACAAACAATGTTATCTCAGTTACAGAGGTTTATGCATATAAAATTTACTCGCTGTCTCAGTTATAGAGGTAACTATGATGATAAATCGAAAGAACAAATCCCAGATATAGAGGTTTACCTCGTCCCACTAACAGAGGTAATTCAGTGCCTAAGTGTTGGGACCTCAGCATGAGTTCCAGTTATGGAGGTTTCTCACTTATCCAGGTCCCACTTAACCAAGTTTCACTGTATATGTATTTATAATATAATTTATTGTAAATCCCTACAACTTCCTTAGTTATGTATTATTGATTATAACAATCACGTCTTTCCTGACTGCCTCATTGGCAGAGTGGTGGCAAATGCGACTGCTGGGCAAGGGGTCTCGGGTGTGATTCCCGGGTCGGGCAAATTATTACTGGATTTTTTAAATTCTCAGTAGTAGCACGGTGTCTGGAATAAGTCGCATTTTTAGAACACGAGTCTGTGTTATATAACATAATATTATTATTATTCAAAACAGTTCTTCAATAAAAATGCAGCCATTTAGGAATTGTGTGTTTACACATGTTTTATTTGAATAGACATCGCATGACCCCGGAATTAAACCGAATACCTCTTCGGAACGATCTGGATCAGCAATGACTCATGACGAAAAATGGAACGGGATTTATTTACAGTTTAAAAGTAACAATAATGAATGTAATTAAATTATTGAAGTACCTACCTAGTATTTAAAAAAGTATTTTTTTGAGTATTTAAAATAAATGTATGGATGAAGATAATAATGTCATTGACCACATCTATACACATAAAGATAAATAAAATTGGAGTGTCTGTTTTGATATTAAAATAACCGCTTTTTACTGCATGCATATGAATATACATACGATACACATACCAAACTAACATTTATTACAATTTGTGTCTGTCTGTCTGTTTGTTTGTTTGTACTAGGTAATCTCTGGAATTGCTGGACTGATTTTGCAAGATTTTTATTGGCAGGTAGCTGATGTACTAAGAAGTAACATAAGCTTCTTTTATTTTAGAACATTTTAATTATTTTATTATTTTTTTTAAAAAACGTCGCCCACACTGGAACTTTCTCCTGTATCGTGGGTGCGTTTACAAACATACAATATCACATATACATGACACCCAGACCCGGAACAACAATCTGTGGATCACACAAACAGTTGTTCCGTGCGGGAATCGAACCCGCGACACGTTGCGCGGCAGCCAGTTGCCCAGCCACCGCGCCAACCGTTGAAACAAAAGAAACGTTATGTTCGAAAATTCTATACAGGCGAAGTCGTGAGCAACAGCTTGTACATACATAAAATTATATGCATCCACCCATGAGCAGAAGCCAGCAGGTCAAAGTCACCGAATCTCTTTAATACACTTTCAACTTTATCAAGAAAAAACAAGGTTAAAAATTCAATGAAAAAATAGAGTGGATAGCTTGATGTGGCTGTTGTATACTTATTTATTTTATTTATTTATGCACAACACAGAGACAGTACACAAGAGAATACATATATAAATAATTTGGAGGTACATAGGCACTTATTCCCGTAGGAATTTCTCCTGCAGTCCTTCGACAGGAAAGGCAGTAAAAACGAAAACACTGTGTGTAACATAGCATGAACAAAAAAATAAAAATTACCAAAATTAAAGCCAATCAGTACTTAAAACTACATACACAACTTACCTATTTTATACAAATTAAATGTTAATAGGGTCACGAGGTTATATTGGAGAATCGATGATATTTTCTTCTTAAGTATTTTGTTTTATTTAATTAAAAACAATGAATATTTGGGATAACAGGTAGGTAATTAAGCATCTATTACTATCCGTTTAGTTGTATTAAGCAATGGAGCCATTTTTACTGTATGGCTGGAAAATATCCTTTAGTGTTAGACTCAAATCACCCCGTTTCAACAAATGCTTGCTACAAATTAATGTATGACTAGCCACCTGCAATCCCGGAACCCAATAGGTCCTGGAGTTAAAATCACACTTAGAATATCGACGTAAACTGGTAAACGTAGAGTAGTAAAACATCCTCTAATTTGATGAATGATGATTTAGCAAAATGGTTGCAGTTATTGGATGACATGATCCGAAGGTTGATCTCATTGGAGGGCTATTGGAGAAGCCATCACCTTATGATAATGACGACGATAATCAATATTGTAATATTATGTATAAGAAACGAATATATGAAATTAAATTATCCCCACTATTTTCCAATTTATCAACAATACCCGGAAACGAAAGCAAAATTTAAAATTTTAATTACTTTTAAAAAAATTTAAATGTAAATCGTTGTCTTGTAGTTCGGAATACTGTGTCATGTATATTTATTCTCGATTCGAATTTCGATTAGCGCAGTAGTCATTATCTGTCGACAATTTAAGTTTGAAAAATAATTAAAAAAATAAATTAAAAAAAACTGCTAATTAAGTTTAATTAATTTTGAATAAGTTTTAAGTGAATTTTAACAAGAAATATTTTCAGTTTAGAAATAAATAGAAACCAGTGTTTAAACTAACAAAACTAAAACCTCTAGAACATTAAAAAAAACAATCTAATTCATCTCTTCTGCTTCATTGACTCTTGATAAAATCTAAAATACAGAAGAAAATAAAAAGAATCGTGAAACAACAGAAGATTCCTTCTAGAAGACGCTGAACTGACACACACAGATTAATTTGAAAAAATGGCTGAAATAGACACTATGGATCCAGCTCAAGAGTACCTGGAGACTATGCTGAGCCGTCACAAGAAGATGGATGATTTGACAGAAAGAGGAGACTCGGCAGTACAGCAGTTCTATCAAGATGCTGTTGTGTTTGTGACTGGAGGCACTGGATTCCTTGGGAAGCAGCTCATTGAGAAGTTGATCAGGTAAGATCAGCAGTTTAACTCGTCGAGTACCGTCATTATAGACACAATTATAGAACAATAGGTTGCGGTCACCGGTGACCGCTTGGTGTTTGACAGTTTAAGAAGTAGACCTAAAGAAAGTGTCAATTATTTAGCTTAGCAAGCCTTTTAACAGAAAATAATGGTCATCTTATAAAATGTATAAAAATTTTTAATCTATTATTCTGTTATCGGCTTACTCACGTAACTGATTGACTAGGAACTCGACTAGTTTCAAGCCATACTAGAGGCTCATATTCATGAGCAGCATTTCGCGACCCGAGACGCGGCGACTGTCGCGCTGCTACTTCTGCGCTGCAAGTTCCTCGTCAAATAAATAAATGAGTAAGCCGAAATATTTAGAAGGTCTCACGAAAGTTATAATACAATTTTTTAATCGTTTGGTTTTATTAGTTTCTTGTTTTTTCCAAAGATGCCAAAAATTGGCGCATTGTTTCAGTTTGATGATGCCAACAGTTAGATTTCATGTAATTTTTCCTTCATGTCTATTTACATGATATTAATGTACTTTCAGATCAACAAAACTTTCCAAAGTGTATGTGGTATTAAGACCTAAAAAAAGCAACAGCGTTGAAGAAAGACTAAGAGAATTATTAAAAGAACCTGTGAGTATTTATAGTTGAGTAGTCTTATCATTATCATCATCATCGTCATCATCACTATCAGCCAGTGAGAGTTTATCCCAGAGTGCTACTATGCTACTACCAAGTCTCTGTAACATAGCATAACATCACGCCGTTTATCCCCAAAGGGGAAGGCAGAGGTGCACATTATGCCACTGTACAATGTAACACCCACATTCCACTATTTATGTTGTGAGTCCCATGTAATAGGGGGTGAGCCTATTGCCATAAACACAGGCACAATTCCAGACTCCGTGTTACTACTGAGAATTTTTAATAACCCCAGTAATACTTTGCCCGACCCGGGAATCGAACCCGAGACCCCTTGCCCGGCAGTCGCACTTGCGACCACTTGGCCAACGAGGCAGTCAAGTATTTGTAATGAACTCTAATTTGTACCTAGCATATAAAACCATCTTACTCAAAATATTTCTCGCCAGGTATTTGACAAACTAAGAAAACAGCAACCAGAGTTTGCAGAGAAGATTATCCCAGTTGCAGGTGATGTCAGTGAACTTAACCTCGGTATTAGTTATCAGGAATGGAACATTATGGCCGATGAGGTATGTTCAAAGGGAATTATCATTACTTACAGTGGCTTGCAATTATAACAAAATAGATGTATATCTTTTAGTGATTTAATAGATATCTAGTAGTTAAAAATCGACTTCAAAACACCAAAAAATTATAACAAACGAAAAGAAAAAACTGAAAGCAATAAATAAATATTAGTACTGATAGCTTACCCACCCATTAATAGGTTAGAAGTCGGCGCCATTAGTGTAAAGCTACATAGATGCGTTTTGCCACTTGTGAGTGGCACCTATGTGGATAATCCATCCACATAGGTGCAGATCTAATCAATACAGATTATTTAAGCCCAAAGACAAAGTACTTACTACAAACCGTTGACAAGTTCCCTTAACAATTACACTTCTTCATCATCAGACCCTTAATTTTACAGTCCCACTCCATCTAGGTGTAAAGTTCACGCCTAGTTTATATTAACCGTTGAGGAGTTCCCTCGACTGTCTGTCGGCTCCATCATCAGGTCGACACTGGATTCTTATCAAATTGTAGAGTTTAAAAATACTAATTGAATGAAAAACATAGTACCTCCTCCTTTTTTTGAAGTCGGTAAAAATGACCCTTTACGAGTTTATGACAAGTCTGAATTTGTATAAAAGTTATTTTTTTCTCAATAAAGTTTAAATATTGGAGTGCTGTAATGTGTTAAAGATTTTTAGTGGCAGAATTTGTCAGGTCTAGAGATTCTAGGCATTTTACTGCTTCGAAGAACAAAACATTAAATTCTGGAAATGGAACAATTCATCATCAACAACAGCCTATAAATGCCCACTGCTGAGCAAAACCTCTTCTCACACGGAGAAGGTTTGAGCATTAATAACTACACTTGGCGATTACAAACTTATAATTAGAAATATTATAAGCCCAGGTTTCCTCATGATGTTTTGCTTCACCGTTTGTCGAGAATGAAATGGAACAATTGTTTAATTTTTATACATTTTCTTCCAACAGGTCAATGTTATATTCCATTTAGCCGCTACGACCAGATTTGATGCTTCCATTCGAGAATCAACAATGATCAACATCCGTGGTACCAAAGAAACTCTTCGGTTCGGCAAGCAGTGCAAAAATCTCAAGTAAGTGGCATTTGTAATTATTATTACTACAAGTGAAATAAAAAAGCTTGGTCTTTCAATGATGCATTCAATTAATTTACTTAATACAATTTGATAGGTTCGAAGTTGGCGCCATAAGTTCTATACAAAATTATTTATTAGAACCTTAATAAAAGGTTTGTAATTAAAAACCATTTTGTAAGACCTAAAATGAGACCAGGGAGCAGCACTCTCTGAAAACCTGATTCTTTGAAACTATCATTTTCAACCTGCATACCAACTATGGTACATGGTAAACCCCTCTTTGGGCAGTGCAGGCCCACCATCGCGGTGAACTCTCACGGACAGTCGACGACGCCTAACTTGAAATTCTATTATTAATGTTCTTTAGGTTGGTATTGTTCGTCGAATCAGTCAGGCTCACCTGTTAATTGAGCTGACTGTAAACCGACACATGCTACTGCCTTCAGAACGGGTCCGCTCAAACTGTTGTGGTTCTTTCCTCAAAAGGCCACTACAGAAAGAACTTGCACGGTTCTCATACATAATATTATATATATTTGTCTGGACTTTAAAAGAGACGGACCTCTGAGTTTGTTTCGGCATTTCTTCTCAGAGTAACTGACGTTAGGAAATATCGTCCCCGTAGAGCGAAAATTAACTAAGTCCAAAAATTACCAAAATGAGTTATCACTATCATTAAAATGAACTTTTATTTCTCTATAAATCAGTCTAACCGGTATTTATGTAGCTGTCGTCGTTTTTGTTTTACGGAATGTGAAAAATAAATAAGCATATGTTTTGGACTCCACATCATAATTGGAGAAATAACTAACTTAATTAATTAATTATACATTTACGAAAAAATTGCATAACTTAAAATTAAGTCCACTTAATTATTTTCCTATTCAATTGTGAATGCATCCACTTGTCAATAGTTAAATTAAAAATCACTACAATGATTTGGTTAATATTTGAAATCAATAGTTTGCTAAAACGCACGAAAACGAAAATTAACTAACTCGACGTAGTGAATATTGACTCTTGGTTTTTAAATTATTTGTACTGTACTGTAAAAATGAAAAATCACTAACCCATTTTAATCTTTTTTTCTCTTTTAAAAGGGAAACGTAAGACCTATAGTGAACAAAAATAAAACCTTTAAATTTTAATTTTTGTTCACTATAGGTCTTACGTTTCCCTTTTAAAAGAGAAAAAAAGATTAAAATGGGTTAGTGATTTTTCATTTTTACAGTACAGTACAAATAATTTAAAAACCAAGAGTCAATATTCACTACGTCGAGTTAGTTAATTTTCGTTTTCGTGCGTTTTAGCAAACTATTGATTTCAAATATTAACCAAATCATTGTAGTGATTTTTAATTTAACTATTGACAAGTGGATGCATTCACAATTGAATAGGAAAATAATTAAGTGGACTTAATTTTAAGTTATGCAATTTTTTCGTAAATGTATAATTAATTAATTAAGTTAGTTATTTCTCCAATTATGATGTGGA